ATGACGTCGCCGATGCTGATCACGCCCGCCGATAACGATGACAATGTCCTTGCGTCGGCGATGACAGTTTTTGCGGGAGTTCGACATGCGCGCACGGCCGACGCTCGCGAGTGGCCCGCGTGGCATTGTTCGAGACGGGTCGCACCCCCCCCAACACGCGCGCAAAGGCGTTCGAATGAGATCGACATGCGGCGCGAGAGCGGTTTTGAAATGATTGCGGCAGGCGCGCGCGACGACGCGCGCGCGTGCACTTGGACCCATACTCTTGCCAGGGATTCTTCAACAACAAATATTTTTGGACAACCAAATGCGCGCGCATAATATTGTTTGTTGAGGATGAGGGGAAGAGCTCCGGCCTGGCAGGGAGGTACGAAGTCATATTTAGGATGGACGATGGGGCAAAATCACATGCAAACTGAAATAGGAAAAATATGATGGAAAAACAAAGAGAACAAACAAACAAAAAAAACAAAAACGTTAACCCTAGGGGGCGGTCGATCCGGCAACATTCTGGGAAACAAAAAATTCACCTTCCCGAACACGAAGTTGTCAACTCCACTGCTTGCGCATTCGCCCCACCCACCCACACGCAACTTAGATTGCAAAATCATGCGGCGGCGACTGCGATGACATCTTGGCGCTGGCTGGCGCAGCGCCGCGGCCACGCTAGCGCGCGCGGGTTCGCGCGCACAGCGGCATGGTAGGTTGGCGCGACCGACACGGCCGCGGTGGCGCTGACCGTCGGGGACTTCCCGGCGCGTCTCGCAGGCCGCGCTGACGCGCGGGCACTTCACTGCAAATCGGTGACCCGGGCGGGCGCGGTATCACGGTGAGGCCGGCAAAGGCGGGCACGAAGCTGGTAGTAGCGACGATGGCGACCATGATGGCGATGACGACTGTCGGCGCCGACGCCGGCCACGCCGACGGCGATGATTACGCCCACCCGTCGGCAACGAAAAGTTTGGAAAGATTTCGACACGCGCGCGCGGCCGACGCGCGGAAGTGGCCCACCGGGTTTTTTGGGACAAGGATTGTGCCCCCCGCCCCCCCCCCACCGGCGAAGGCGCAAGAGGTTTCGAATGCTTTTGCCATGCACGCGCGAGAGACTCGCTTGGCGGCATTCGGTGCACATGTTGAAGATGCACGGTTGTCCTGAGAATGCACCAAAAATGCACGGTTGTCCTGACAATTCGCCAAAGCGGGCGCAAACCAACTTTGGGAAAAAACATGTTGCGAAACTGTGCGTTTTAATATATGTTCGGGAGCCTTGATCCTGAAATCCACGCGAGGCTGAAGGATTCTGAAATTTCAGCATGCGCAGGCGGGCGGTGTCCCGTTTCTTGCAAGGGATGTCTGAAAATTACGGATGTTTGACAAACGGGTGCGCGCAGGTAGTGTCATATGACGGTGGCAACGGGGTATCGATAACGGCTTTGGCTGGGATGGTAAGAACTATTTTTTCGAATGAGCGATGAGACAAAGCTGCACGATCCAAGGGAGTGCTGACAATTGTGGGGGGAGTAAATCCTAAGTTCGGGCTCCAGAGGAAAGTATGCGCAGTGCATTCTACGCGGCACAACTCATCCTGCCGAACTTGAAATTGTGAACTCCACTGCTCGCGCAGTCATCCCACCCACCCAACCGCAACTTGGTTTGCAAAACCCTTGGGGCGGCGATTGTGATGACTGCTTGACGCTGGCTGGCGCTCGCTGCGGCCGCGCTAGCGCGCGCAGGCTCGCGCGCAGAGCGGCCAGCTATTCTGGCGCGACCGGCGCGGCCACGGTGGCGCTGACCGCTGGGAACTTCCTAACACTTGTCGCGCGCCGCACTGCCGCGCGGGCACTTCAGCACGAGTCGATTACCTGGGCGGGCGTGGTATCGTAGTAACGTCAACAACGGCAAACACGATGATGGCAGTAGCGGTGAAGGTGACGACGATGGCGATGACGACGGCATGGCCACTGACGGCGCCCACGCTGATCACGCCAATGACGATGATGGTGGTGCCCACTTGTCGGCGATGAAGGTTTGGGAGAATGTGGCATGCCCTCACGGCCGGCTGGCGCGAGTGGCCCGCATGGGAGTATTTGACAGGGATCGAGCCCCAACTGCGTAGAGGCATTCGAATGATTTCGGCACGCGCGCGCGAGAGGCCCCGCTTGGTCGCATGCGATGAACATGATAACAAAAAAATCCGCTGGCTTTCGTAAGAAGTCGCGAAGGCGCGCGAGCAGACTTGTTTGGCAAAGAACAAGTTACAAAACCATGATTTGCTTTGTCACATGTCCTCGGAAACCTCGAAGTTGAAATCCCTACGAATCCGATGGTCTTTTAAAGCATGCTGGCACGCGCGCGCGACAGCGCGCGCGTGTGGACTTTATTTCCAATCTTGCAAAGGACTTCCGAACATGGGTGGTTTTTTGATAAGCGAATGCGCGCATAGCACGATCTGTCAGGGACCAAGGGGGGGCGACAAGGGGTCCGGATGGGATGAGATGAGCTCATATTCAAGACGAAGGAAGGGGCAGAATCATGCGGCACTATCCCTAGGAGGGTCGCTGAAAAACCAGGGGGGGGGGGGGTCCTCCTTTGTTTTGAGAAAAGAGACTCTATGCGAGACGGCGACGGGGCGGCGAAGGCGAAAACATGGCCACCAGACCGACGCCCAGGCCCAGACGACGGGCGGCGACGAGCCGGCGACTGGGCGGCAACGGCGAGAAGGAAGCCGCCAGACCAAGACCCCGGCCTGGTTCTTTATTCGGGGATGGACAGGCCCCCCTTTAGCAAAACGCGGTTTAGTGAAAACGACCTGAGGCCCAAACCTGGCGGGCGCAAGCCTGGAAAATAACGGCCACGGCGCCCTCTCGAGAGCCGAAAACGAACAATTCACTAATCGACGTGTCACTGTTGGGGGTTCTGTCCACCCCCGATTTATGAGAAACAAATAAGAGCCGCTAAGAGTAAGCGCTGTTTGGGGAGAACGGGAATAACGTGAAGAGCGCGAGGTGGCGACAGGGGGGAGAGGAAGGGGGCGGCAACGACGAGAGAGGACGGCGGAAGCAGTACACCGGTCCGGGAACGCTGCCAACGCTGCAGCAGGCGCACCACGCTGACACCATTTTGACCGAAGACGCGCAGATGGGATTACTCGACGCGGTGCTCCCCATATGTGCATATCTTTCTCTTGGCACGTCTTTCTACGGGATATGTCAAAAAGCGCCTGCGTGCAAGGGCGAGCCGCTGGTTCGAGAAACCTTCATCGGCTGCAAGTCTGAGTGCGGGCGAGTCGCACGTCTCACAGCGAACGAGTCTACGTGTGATTAATGTGAACACTAGTGAGCCTGAGTTTGAGTGGGTATCAGTGTTAGTGGGTATGTGTGCGAGTACGTCTGAGTGCAAGTGCGTTTTACTACGATTTCGTCGGAGCCCCAGGAATGCCCTGCCCGAGCATGATAGAGCTGACCAAGCGCGGCAGCCACCCCGTCGGTCGCCAGGACGGGGCAGCCGCCCCGTCGGTCGTCCGCAATCCTCCTCCTCCTCCTCCTCCTCCTTCTCCTCCTCCTCCTCCTTCTCCTCCTTCTCCTCCTCCTCCTCCTCCTCCTCATCCTCCTCATCCCCATCCTCATCCTCATCCTTTTCCCTCCTCCTCGTCCTTCTCCTCCTCCCCTTCCTTTTCGCCCCATCCACCTCATCCTCGGCCTAACAAGAAGAAGGAAGACATCCTCGCAACATGCTCCGAAAGCAAGAGATGGTGGAAGCCGAAACAAGCAAACCGCCTGATACATCCCCACAATCTGAGCGCGAACGGGCCCGTGAGATACCCCCTGGCGCCCCCCCTTTCCCACCCCCCCTTTGGGAGTGCTGACACCAGCGCCTCGCCTGAGACATCCTCAGCAACTGCTCCGAGAGCAGAAGATGTTGAGCACGCAAACAGGCAAACCGCCTGAGACATCCCCAAAATCTAGCTGGTCCGAAAGCAGAAGATGTTGAGCACGCAAACAGGCAAACCGCCTGAGACGTCCCCACAATCTGGGCGCGAACGGGCCCGTGAGATACCCCTGGCGCCCACCCTTAGGAGTGATGAAACCAGCGCCTCGCCTGAGACATCCTCAGCAACTGCTCCGAAAGCAGAAGATGTTGAGCACGCAAACAGGCAAACCGCCTGGGGCATCCCCAAAATCTGGGCGCGAACGGGCCCGTGCAATACCCCCTGGCGCCCCCTTGGGACTGCTGAAACCAACGCCTCGCCTGAGCCTGACTGAGTGAGGAAGAGCGAGCCAGAGCACCAGTCAGCGTGAGTCGCAGTGTCACAGAATGAGTGAGTCTGAATGGTGAGTGGGTATCAGCGATGAGCGAGTCTAGGTCTGAGTGATGAATGCATCTAGGCGATGAGTGGGTCTGAATGGGAAAGAGCGAGTCAGAGCATGAGTGAGTCTGAGTGATGAGTGGGTCTGAACGATGAGCGAGTCTAGGTCTGAGTAATGGATGCGTCTACACGACGAATGAGTCTGAGCGCTGAGTGAGTCTGAGTATGAGTGAGTCTGAGTATGAGTAAGTCTGAGTGTGGGAGGCTCTGAGTGACTGGTGGGTGTGAGGTGGGGAGGTTGGTGTGTGTTCCTCCGACGCGGTGAAGTAAGATCAAGAACCAACCTTAGGATATGAGAAAAAACGCAAATGGCTTACCAATGTTCGAGACCCTGCGCTTGAAGGAAACATGTGCGGGAGAAGCAAGAACGGCGGGACGTTGTCAAGGAATGGAGGAAAACAGCATCCATAATGAGTACAGGGCAGTTTCTAATACATCGGAGTTTTAAGAATTTCGGATTTTAAATACATGATTGATTTGTGAATGGAGTTACGCACGAACTCATCGTTGTTTTTAATACTAAATCCCTGCCTGCATTTTTTAATACATGATCCGCACTCGGAGCATGTTTTAAAAACGGCACTGTACACATGTGGGGGGAATGGGCAAGTGGAGGTCCGGATTTGCCGCCCACCCTCCGTCCATCAGCGCCGCAGCACGCAGGGAGCCCTCCCGGAACTGCTGCGCGAGCGCCAGCAAGTCCTGGCTGCGAGCGGGCAGGGAAGGACGCGGGGCAAAGGCAGGGAGGGGGGCAGGGAGGGGGATCACGGGCAGAGGCAGAGAGAGAGGCAGGGAGAATCGAGGACCGAGACATTTCGTTCGAGCGTTCCTGGCGTCTTATGATCATGCGATTGGCACGCGCATGCGTAACCGGTTTGCGAAGCTATCCTTCGCGCGTCTGGCGGTACCGACGGTCAACTGTCAGCGCTCAGCCTGGAGCAGCGCGTTGCGCGGCACGGCTGCTTTCGCTCCAAGACCGTGTTTTAGACGCCAGTCCGGCGCGCGTGCGTCTGGCGAGTGCCAACACGAGGTGCTGCCGCGGCCGTCGATAGCGAGGCGCAAGCGCCTCGCTGCCGGCGTCGAGCGGCGCGCATCCTCGCCGACGAACCTGAGACCTAGTCTCCCAGCACGGGCGGATGCTTCCCAGCATCTCCCCCGGGCTCGTTTGGTGGATGCAGGCGTCAGCCCCGCTGTGCGTCAGAAGTAGTGGGGGTGGTTGAACGTGGTTAATTGGACTCTCGGGCTTTGCTGTCACTCGCCGCCTCGTGCTGGCGCCGCCGTGTGGCACCATCATTATGTGCAAAACCACATGTACGCATCAGTTGAGTTCTAGTGTGGCAACTGGCGTGAGCATTGGACCCGAAAGATTTGAGCGTGTACCCACAAGTATGGGATAGCAGAACCGGACGAAACAATATCAACTTAGCGTACCTGAAGGAAACGCCTTCCAGTCGGCTTCAGGAGAAGACAAGAAGGAGGTCGAGAATGCGGAAGGGGTAAAGGAGTGGTGGAGGAGGGAGGGATGACATCGGGAGGGGAAGAGGGGATGATGATGAATGCGAAGATGATGACGACGACGACGATGATGATGATGGTGATGATGACGACGAGGATGATGATGATAATGATGATGATGATGATGATGATGATGGTGATGATGGTGATGATGATGCTGCTGGTGATGATGATGATGATACTGATGGTGGCGATGATCATGATGTTTATGATGGTGATGATGATGATGATGCCGATAAGGATGACCGATGATGAGGGTGATGGTGATGGTGCTATTGATGGTGATGGTTATGATGATGGTGATGACAATGATGATGATGACAGTAATGGTGATGGTGATGACGATGCTGGTAGTGATGGTAAGGATGGTGGTGATAGTGTGATGGTTATGATTATGATGCTGATGATGGTGGTGGCGGCGATGATGATGACGAGGATGATGATGACGGTGATGGTGATGATGATGATGGTGGTGATGATTATGATGATGACGATGATGGTGAGGAGGAGAAGGATGAGGATGAGGATGATGATAATCATGGTGGTGGTGTTGGACCAGGTGGTTTATCGGCAGATGGCGTGCGGGGCGCAAACAGGCAAGATGGGTGCCGACACTCTCCAGGCGCCATGCATAATGACCCACACCGACGGGCGATCCCCGCTGTGAAGGCGCCGCAGGACTGAGGCAGCGGGGCTCTGCAGCACTGGAGGTCAGGCCGCGCACCAACTTTTACGGGCGGCGACTCACAAGGCTGCGCGTCGCCAGTGCTCGCCAGCGGACTCGAGGGCGTTCCCTGGCGGCTCTGGCCGAGAAATATCGGGCCCAGGGCGGATTTGCGCCAAGATTTTCAACGGCGCAAGTTGTTTCGCAGCGGCCTCCACGGCGGATCGCCTGCCGCCCAGGCAGCCAGCTCGCTAGAGACTTGTTCAAGACGGTGCAGCCGCCGCTGCCGCGGCACCGGCCTGGCCCCAAGCGGCGGGATGAAGCGGGAAGCAGAGCAACGTCGTCTGCTGGTCGGTGACGAGCAGCGGCCGATGCGCTGGCAGCAAGGCGCGATTGGTCGGGTGCCTGCCCAGAAGGAAGCCGTCGATGCGCTCCCTGCGCGAAAATGCTCTGCCCTCCGCAGGGACGGACGGCTGCAAAGCGCCCCGCGCGTTCTGCGATGCACGTAGGACCCGCAGGCGACACACAGCACCACGTCCCCCGCGATGTGCTGGCGACGGCCGCGCGGTGCCGCAGTGGGCACGTCTCCGTGGCGAGGCATGTGCGCTTCGGGTTCGGTAGCGGCTCCCATGCCGCACTAGCCACCCCTTCGCCGTTTGGCTGGCGGCTCGCCCGTTGGCGGTGGGGACGGAGCAGACGAGCGCGGCACTGGGGCTGTTGGCGCCGACGCCGCTGCCTAACTGGGACTGGCCGCGGTCGAGCTCGCAGACGCCGCTGGCGGGGCGGCTGGCGCCAGCGCCGCTGCCTGGCTGGAGCTGGCCGCGGTCGAGCTCGCAGGCGCCGCCGGCGGGGTGGCCGCTGGCGGGGCTGCCGCGGGCTCGCTCGCATGGCTCTTCGATCTGGAGAGCGCGGCCCGTCGAGGGGATGTGGCCCGGGCCGCTCTGCGGCGACGGCAGCAGAGGCTGCGACCAGCACTTCGGAGACGACGACCTGCGGGCGCGTGGCCGTGCAGGGTCCGCCTCGGGATCGTCATCGGGCACGCGAATCCGCAAGCGCTTCGCGGGCGGGCTGGCTGCTGCCCGAGGTGGAGGTGCCGCGTCGAACTCGCGCCCGTCTGGCCCAGCTGCCGCAGTCAGCGCAGCGTCGCGCGCAGCCGGGCATGCGTCGGCATGCAGGGCCGCTCCCGGACACAGACCACGAAGGAGCCGGCGTCGCCCAGCCACAGTGAAGGCCTGTCTGGGGCAGGAGACGCATCGCCACCACCGCCCATCACGACGCAGCGCGTGGCGCTCGCTGCGCGCGGGGCAGGCCTCGGCAACCGCGCACCAGGAGGCCGCCCGCGCTCGGCGCGCCGCCGCCCTGCGCCGCGCCCTCGCTCTCGACGCGGCACGGGCTCGCGATCTGCGGGCTCAGCCCCCATCGCGCCCTTGGCGCTGACGTTGGCGATGCGACACAAGACCTGACGGCTCATTCATGTCCTCGCGCGCAGCGGCAGACGCAGCGTGGGAGGCACGCCCCATCTTGGCCCCGGTATTGGCCCAGTCGGTGCTGCGCTTGTGAGGGCTATCGCCGTCAGCCTGATTGCCACGAAAATGTCGAAAGACAAGCTGGTTACCGAGTCCGCCGAGGTCGCCGACAGCCAACCAAAGGTCGCGGTTGAGGCGCCTGGGGTGCACGGTCCAGTGACGCCCGCGCCCGAAACCGTCAATGAAGTCTTTGCAGTTGGTCAGGACCCGCAGCGACAGCACGGCCACGTAGAAAGTCTGGAGGATCGCGCAGAGCTCGGCCCGCGGCGATTATTGCCATGGACCAGGGACGGCGACACAAACGAGCAGGCCGACGCGCCTCGGACTCGTGATGGCGAATGCCTAGCCCGCTCTGGTAGCCTCAGGCCAGCACCACAACTTCCAGCATGGATCATCGGAGGCGCCGAGGTTCGTGGATCATGTAAACCATGGACCATGGTGGAAGTACAGTCGGGGCGTTGACCTAAGGAACCCCAAATAAGGAACGAAGCACCTTTTCCCTATAAGTTGAACTTTGATTTCCCATGGAAACCTCAAGAAAACCCAAGGCAAACTGTAAAACAATCAAGGAACACCGAGCCCCTCCCCAACGAAAAAGGTTCCTTCTTCAGCGCCCCGACTGTGGACCTCTCGGAGTGGGCGGTGCCGCGGCCACCTCCCGAGAGAACGGGGGTACCCCCTGCGCAGGAGCCCCCCTTTGCTCCTTCCCGTCGCACACAGAGGCGGTGCCCAAGGGAAAACAAATGGTCTTGAGGAAGAGGAGGAGGACGACGACGACGAAGAGGAGGAGCAAGAGGAGGGAAACAGGCCTCAGGCCAGCACCACAACTTCCAGCAGACGAAGTCGCCCGTGACGACGACTTCGTCCAGGCTGCCGCAGTGCACGTAACACTGGCCAGAGTCGTCCCTGGGCGGGAGGAGAAGGAACTTCGAGCGCGCCCAGAGGCCGGTCCTCGTCGCGCAGGGCCAGAAGGTGTTGACTGCCGAAATCCCCCTCGAGGTCGATGTCCTGCACGTTGGAGCAGCACTGCCACGGTGGTAATAATGATGATGATGCTGCTGATGATGATGAGGATGATGATGATGCTGATGATGATGATTATGCTGATGATGATGATGGTGGTGATGTTGATTATGATGGTGACGACGATGGTGATGATGATGCTGAAGATGATGATGCTGATGCTTACGGTGATGACGATAAAGTTGCAGATGTTGATGCTGATGCTGATAATGGCGGTGATGGTGATGATGGCAGTAATAATGATGATGGTGATGATGCTGCTGCTGATGGTAATGATGATGGTGATGATGACGATGGTGGTGGTGATGGTGATGGCTGATGGTGATGGTGATGGTGATAGTGATAATGATGGTGATGGTTATGGTGATGGTTATGTTGATGGTCAGAAGGATTATGATGATGGTGGTAATGATGATGATGATGATGATGATGATGATGATGATGATGATGATGGTCATGATAAGTATGATGATGATGGTGGTGATGATGGTAATGATGATGATGATGTTGTTGATGATGATGACGATGATGATGTGAAAGATGATGCTGATGATGGTGGTGATGACGGTGGTGATGGTGGTAATGATGATGATGCTGATGATGATGATGATGGTGACGATGGTGATGATGATGGTTATGATGATGGTGTTGGTGATGATGATGATGAAGATGATGATGATGATGATGATGATGATGATGATGATGATGATGATGATGATGATGATGATGATGGTGGTGGTGGTGGTGGTGATGGTGATGGTGATGGTGGTGGTGGTGATGGTGATGGTGATGGTGATGGTGATGGTGATGATGATGATGATGAGGAGGAGGATGGTGGTGATGATGATGATAATTATGATGATGGTGAGGAGGAGGAGGAGGAAGAGGAGGAGGAGCTTGAGGATGAGGAGGAGCAGCAGCAGCAGAATCAGGAGCAAGAGGAGAGAGGACGAGGAAGTGGGGAGGGAACAGGGGGAAGGATGGAGCAGAAGCAGGAAGGAGGGAGGGAGAAGGAGCAGGAAGGGACGAGGACAGGAGGATGAGCAGGAAGGAGGAGGAGGTGGAGGAGAAGGAGGAAAAGGAGTAGGAGGAGGAGTAGAAAGAGGAGGAGCAGCAGAAGAAGGAGGACGAGGAACAGTTGCCGCAGCAGGAGGAGGACGAACGAGAAGGAGGAAGCCGACGACGATGGAAAGAACTCATCCCCTCCTCCTCCTCCTCCTCCTCCTCCTCCTCCTCTTCCTCCTCCTCATGCTCCAGTTCGCCGCTATCCTCTCTCCTGTATCTCCTCTCTCCTGTACCTCCTCCCCCTCCTCCCCCCCCTCCCCTGCTCCTCTCCTCTCCGCATGCTGCTGCCCCTGGCCGCGCGGGGGGAGAGCGTCCCTGCACTCCCCGGTCGCGGCGCACGGCGGAGGCGGCTGCGCCTCCTGAAGGGGGGAGGGGGGAGGGGGCAGAGGAGGGGGGCAGAGGTGGGGCAGAGGAGAAGGGGGGGGAGGGGGGGGGGCAGAGGAGCGTGGAGGGGGGAGGGAGGGGCGGGAACGGAGGAGGGAGCCCAGACCCCCTCGAGCCATGAAGAAGCACCACAGAGGGTGCCGCCCTGTGCTAGGGGCCTTTTGGGTGCCCTTGCTGGGCCTCGGACCATCAAGAATGACTCGGGCTGAAAAACCCTGTCCCGGGGAATGGGTCGAGAACCTTGGGGGTCGAAGTTATGGGAGGGGGTCTGGGAGGGAGGGGAAGACGGAAGACCTGGACAGAAGAAGAGACTCCGGAGCCGAGCTTCTCTAGCCGTGGCCTGCCCCCCTGGCGCGCCCAGGGTGGGGGGAAGCGGCACGGATATGGATCAAATGTCGACCGCCGAGGCGATGACGATGACAATGACGATGACCATGACCATGACGACGACGACGACGACGACGAGGACCACGACGATGAGGACCACGACGACGAGGAGGAGGAGGAGGAGCAGAAGGATGATGATATTGATGATGATGACGACAACGATGATGGTAATGATGATGATGATGAAGTTGATGGTGGTGGTGGTGATTAATACAATTGTGATGGTTATGACGCTGATGATGATGCTGCTGATGATGATGACGATGATGATGACGATGCTGATGATCATTATGATGCTGATGATGATGGTGGTGGTGGTAGTCGTTGTGGTAGTTATGGTGATGGTGATGATGATGGTGGTGGTGATGAAGATGACGATAATGATGATGATGATGATGATGATGATGATGACGACAACGACGACGACGACAACGACGACGACGACGACAACGACGACGACGACCACCACCACCCGTGCCACCATTACCACGAACACAACCACGACCACGGCGACGGCGGCGGCGACGAAGACGAAGACGAAGACGGCGACGACGACGACGACGACGACATCTCCAATTCGGTGCAGGAGCCCACGCTGCTCTTGTCGCCGACGACCCCCCCGCGCACGGCCTGCGGGGAGAGCTGTCTGGCCAAGCGCTGTCGTCACCGCCGCCGAGGTCGTCGTCAGGGTCATCGACCGCTCGAGGGCCGACCGAGGACCGATCAGCGATGCAGGATCGATGGAGGATAGATCGAGGACTGATCGATCGAGGTATTCCAGATTTGCGGCTTCACGGGGCAGGTTCGGGCCGTTGGACTATCAACAAGGTATCTGGAAAAGACACCTACTTGTGCGGAGCGGTGCACATCATGACCTCAGAAAAGGGTCGACGAAAACTTACGCGTCGCGCGGTCGTTGTCGCCGCAGACGCCGTCCAGATCGCCGTCGCCACCGCAGCCGCCTCCCCGAAGAGCCTTCGAGGGGTCGAGGACCCAGATGCGAGAATGGAGGTTTTTGAACAATTTGCCCCATTTGTGGGGACTCGAGTGGCCACTGGAGCCCTCTGAGGACCCCCAGGGACCTCCACAGTGTTTCAGAGGCCTCAACATGAAATCGCTCGTCAACGTCGTCGTCGTCACCGCCTCCGTCGTCGTCGTCGTCGTCATCAGCGTCGTTGCCGTCATACTTGTCAAGGTCTTCGTCAAGGTTGTCGTCATCGTCAGGGTCGCTGGCAAGGTCGTCGGCAAGGTCGTCATTGTCGAGGTCGTCGCCGTCGTCGCCGGCGGCAGCCGATTCCAGCATTAGTATGAGGAATACACAGTGGGAGAATATCAGACGGAAGCCGTTTCTTGTTTTCGAAAGCCAACAATGCAGTTTGAGGACCAAGAGCTTCCCTGATAAAGAACAGGGTGCGAGCCCGTGGAGAAGCACTTTCATTTTAAAAAAAAAAAAAAAAAAAAAAAAAAAAAAAAAAACAGGTGCACCGGAAGGGGGATCAAGAATAATTACGCAATCGTTCGGAGTGAGAATTCAACAGCAGCAGCAACAACAAAGGCAACACAAACAACAACAACAACAAAAACAACAACAACAACAACAACAACAACAACAATCACTTTACCCGAACGCTCAGTGTTCTCACCAGTGCCAGGGTTTTCATGCGACGCCAGCCAATACCCCCACTTTGTGGGGGGGCAGTGCAAGCTCTACCAAATATCCACACGACTCTTCGCCACCACCCACACCCAGCTTCCCGCCCTATGACGTTCGGACACTTCACTTCGTGGCCTGCGGACGACCGTGGCTACTACACTGGCGTGGAGTACACACCCACAGAAGTTGTTAAGCCTACGTTCGTACACCCACAGAAGTTGTTAAGCCTTGTTAACCCACAGAAGTTGTTAAGCCTTCCACAGAACATCTGTTGCATATGATGCATATGGTACATGATACACATGATACACATGATACGTACTCACAAGATAGTTGATCACATCTTTAGGGCAAATTCCTGAGGGATGTGGGAATACACAAGAGAGAGAGGATATGGTTGTCCCGATGGTTGTCTCGATGGTTGTCCCGATGGTTGTCCTGATGGTTGTGGTTGTCCCGATCGTTGTCCCGATGATTGTCCCGATGGTTGTCCTGATGGTTGTGCTTGTCCCGATCGTTGTCCCGATGACTGTCCCGATGATTGTCCCGATGGTTGTCCCGATGGTTGTTCCGATGGTTGTCCCGATGGTTGTCCCGATGGTTGTGAGCGATGCCGGATCCTCACGCCCCCCGCCGGAGGAGGAGGAGGAGGAGGAGCAGGACAAGGAGGAAAGGAGAGAAGAGAGAGGAGGGGCGGGAACGGCGCTTGCACGCCCACCCACCGTCTTTTCCCCGCCGCGGCTCTAAAGAGACGAGTTCGTGTGCTCGTCATCTTCTGGCATACGCCCGTCCCTGATGGCACGGATGGGGCGCAATGCTGCCAGCTGGGCTCCTGGCAGAAATACATCAGGGGCCAAGTGTCCAAGCATGGTGCCGATACGCCTCCTCCAAGCATGGTGCCGATACGCCGGTGCCAGAGATTTCGGCGTGCGCGCGCGAAGAAAAAACGAATGTGTCCCGCATGGTATTATTTGACAGGGATGATGGCCCTGGCAGGTGCGCAACCGTTGTCGCAGAAGTTCGAAAAAGTTGCTCGCAAAAGCCCGTTTGACAGAAATGTTTAAAAAGTGTTGGGTTTCCTACGAATCCGCAAGAGCGCGCGGGATGAGATTTTGACAATTTTTTGTTGAAAAACCATTGGTTTTTTGATGTTTTTATGTTAAAATCGTTGCGAACACTAAGGTTTTGGAAGGATTTCGTCTTGCGCGCGCGAATGTCCACTTTACCTTATTTTTTGCAAGGGATTCTTGAAATTTGATTATATTAGAACAAGAAATGTCATTTTCTATTGTTTTTTGCAAGGGAAAGCGGATTACAACAAAACAACCGGATCCTGTACACACCCTCTTTTCTGAGGCTTCCTCACGAAAATGATGAAAATGTAGCTGCGGCCTAGGCGGCGCAGGGGGGGCGCGCACCAGGGGGCCCAACAATAATTATTCTTTAGAATAAATAATGTTCAACAACAACAACAACAACAACAACAACAACAACAACAACAACGATAAATACGTACAACAAACAAAAACAACAAAACACGTGGAAAAAAATACGCATCGACAAAACCAACAAAAAAACAAAAAAAAACAAAACGGCGGGGGGCACACCATCGTGTTATGCGATGCAACAGAATGCGGGAGGCGGGGCCCCACTCGCATAGAATCTGGGGAGAGAGGAGTCGTGTTCATACTGGGCACTCGTAGGGGCGATATATGATATGGACAGTGGAAGAAGAGGACGAGGAGGAGGAAGCAGGGGCGATTCACCTCCAGGGCTGAGCCTACATGCACGCGCTCCCCTACCCCCGTCGCGGAGAGAGGGGGAAGGAGGGATGCTCTTTTTCTTTATCAACAAAAGGCTACAGGATTTCGGGCCATCGCCCAAACAGTCTGGTTATATTCTGATATAATCATTTATCTTGGTGAAACTACAAATTTCCTAGCACCTCTCCTTGAGCGCAGGGAAGCAGCTCGGCCTCCAGCTGAGAAGCGTGAGCAGGGTACCAGCTTTGTGGTCCCT